ATACATAACCCACAGGGAATTTGATTTGAATTATTTTTAAAAATGTGTTAACCTTTTTGATAGCCACCAATTTTAGTGGTATAGGAAGCGTCGCCTCTTTTGGTTCGCAACAAGAGTGCGATCGCTTGAAAACAAGCCATCCATCACTCGACTGCGCCGGAACCGGAATTGTCACCTCTTTTGGCAAAGTGTTAGTGTTTGGCCCAATGAAAGGCTCACAATTTGGATTCAAGGGCTACACAGCAACCGGTCAGACATTGGCACCCATTTCAGACAAAAAGGACATGCCATGGGGTTTGCCCACTGAATCGCCAGTGAACGTCACGGGTGCGCCACTCAGTGCTCACCACGTCTGCAACAGCGCTGTCTATCATCCCGTCAATCAGGTGGTATTCTTCAGCGTATTTGATCCAAACGGGTATTAAACCATATAATCATTGGATTATAATTAATATTTAATAAATTAAACGCTTTTAAGAAATCCCGAGAAACACAAACTGTATTCAGTACTACACAACGGCTCCATTGACTCTATGGATACGCCAAACAACTATTCGGCTTTGATTTACCAAAACAACAATCTATTTGGTCTGAAGTCCGGATCCGATTGGGTTGTGCTCACAATTGCCGGCCATAAAGTGACAGAAAGTCAAACCGTAATCAATTGATTATTACTGTGTTAACACTTTTAATCTCTAATTAAATCTAAATCTCAATTTGCAGTACAATTGGATAGATTTTCTAAATTGTAACAAAAAGTCACCCCTCTATGATCCTTCGGCTCCGACCGCCGGCACACCCGCATCGGTCACTACAGGCACCGGCGGTGACACCGGAAATACAAATAGTACCGCAAAGTCTTCACCGACCAAAAAGTCAAATAAATCCCCGTTTTTGTTAATTTTGATTGTCGTGATTGTAATCGTAGTAATCGTTGCAATCGTTTGTGTCATCTATTGCTGTGAGTCTTAAAGTGAAAAATAATACGATTTTGTATTAATAAATCAAATGTGCGTTTATTTAGGCCTCGGATCCAAGAAAACAGCGCCAAAATCGGCCGACACTAAGGCCTCAGCGAAGGCCACGTCAGCAAAAACTGGACCGAAATCTAAGTCGAAATCAAAGTCAGAGAAGAAAAGCGGCGAAACCCTGCGCTCGGCTTAACATTTGGTTTTTGATTTCTATGTTTTTATTTCTGCATTATTTTACCATTTCATTCAACATTCATATCATTTATTCCCTATTTATTTATTCATTTAAAAAACAAATTTGATGTTTACGTAAAGTTATTTCTATCGTAATAATAATTTTCAACATTGTTTTAATTTTTTTTTAAATTAATTTAATTTGATTGAGTGTTAGATTAATAAATAGCTCTCAAATTGTATCTCTAAATTTATAACAAACACTCTTTCATTTATTTATTCATAATTTTAAAAATTACTAAATTTCAAATCTATATTTTACAGTATAACTTTTATTGCAATATTAAAATAATCATGTTTTAGATAAATGAGCCAATAGAAGAGACAATCAAATAAACCACATTCTGTTTACTGTTTAAATATAAATAATTGTTAATTATATTTGAAGAGATAACACATCTGTGACCAGAGATTCAAGTGATATAATAATTGTTTTTATTTGTCAATCATTTAACAGTAAATAGTTTTTTCAATCGTTCAGTATTTTAATATCACTTTCAAATTAATTTTGTTTATAATTTGTTTTAAATTATTTGTAATTTTATAACAGCAAAACAATGTACATTGTACATATTGAGCCATCTAATTTAACAAGGTTTGTTACATTGTATTTTAAATTAAATCATAATTTCCTATTTCTAAAATACTTGATTATTATGAGTATTCTGTGAATACTGTAATCAAAACTATATTGATTTAAATTAAACAATAAGTCAGATAATTAGTATCGCGTAAAACATTAGTAATGAAAAATAAATGCATTATTAAAACAACGGAAATTCATTACAAAGTCTTAAATAAACCGATTTTTAGTTTTGCAAAACCAAAAGATGTTATCTTTGTATCCATCGCTTGTATTGATTGGTTTGGTTGCCATCAATGGTGTGATTCTTCAGTCGAGCCCTTCTTCGTCTGCACCGTCGGCTGTAAGCGTTACCACAACACAGTCTGGTGTCACCACTTCGTCGGGACAATCGGCTGCAGGTTCTTCAGCAGCACCTTCTGGTGTGAGTACCACTCCCTCGGGTGTCAGTGCCTCTGCGGGACAATCGACTGCTAAGAATTCAGTGGCGCCGTCGGGGGTCAGTACAACTGGCGGTCAATCAGCTACGAGTGCCGCTTCTCAGCCATCGGGTGTGAGCACAACCACTGGTCCATCTGCTGCCAGTCCTTCATCTCAATCGTCGGCTGTCAGTACAGGCGCTGGCGGTAACTCTTCGCAGGCATCGGCTGGCAGTGGATCCACTGGTCAATCAGGTGGTAGTCCCGCACCGCAGCCATCGGGAGGTAATACTACGGGAGCGTCCGGTGCGGGTTCATCACCAACACAATCGTCTTCGACAGCCGGCACACCCGCATCGAACACCACAGGCACCAGCGGTGACATCGGAACCGTTGGTTCAGCCAATAGTACGACAACGTATTCACCGACCAAAAAGTCAAAACAATCCCCGTTTTTGTTAATTTTGATTGTCGTGATTGTAATCGTAGTAATCGTTGCAATCGTTTGTGTCATCTATTGCTGTGAGTCTTAAAGTGAAAAACAATCAGATTTTGTATTAATAAATAAAATGTGGGTTTATTTAGGCCTCGGATCCAAGAAAACAGCCCCGAAATCGGCCGACACTAAGACCTCAGCGAAGCCTACGTCAGGAAAGACTGGACCGAAATCTAAGTCGAAATCAAAGTCAGATAATTCTCGAGGAAAGGGCGATAAGAAAAGCGACGAAACCCTTCGCTCGGCTTAACATTTGGTTTTTGATTTCTATGTTTTTATTTCTGTATTATTTTACCATTTTATTCAACATTCATATCATTTATTACCTATTTATTTATTCATTTAAAAACAAATTTGATGTTTACGTAAAGTTATTTCTATCGTAATAATAATTTTCAACATTTTTTAAATTTATCATAAATAATGTTTTATTCGTTTATTTATATTTATAATTAGAGCATTGCATTTAAGTAAATTCAGTTCGTGTTATGGTTTGCGATGAGTCGGGCGTCGGTTTAACAGTAGGTTTTTGTGCGCTTTTCTTGTCTCTGTCTGACTTGTCCTCCGAGTCGACAGACTTGGTGTTGATGTGAAGAGTTGTGCCGCTCTCGACCGATACGGACACGTGTTTCTTGGTTCGGGTGGTCCGCAGGAAAATGAGCCGACATATCATTGCTATCATCACCGCTAATAACACTACAAACAGCACCGATAGGCATATGATTATTATGTTCATCCAAGCCATTCGTTTATAGCAATTAATTATTACTTTTAATTATTAGTATTATTTATCAATATTTATTACAAACTATTTGTTTTATTTAATTAGACTTTTTTTAGTCGTTTCAAAGAATATTTACTATTTAGGAAATGTTTGGTCTGTTTTTGTAGGAAATATATGAATTTGTAATTTTCTAACGGATTTACCAAAACTTAAGTTAAACTTAACTGTGAAGTGATTTGCACTCAATTTGTTTATTTCAAATGTGAGACAATAATTGATTATTAATTTTTGCGTGAATTAAGTTTGTTATAAATATTAATCAAATATAAATGTTATTTTGATAATATTTTCAAATGAGTTTAAATTAATTTCATGTGCATTCAATGTAAGCAATTAATAATTTTTATAAACTTCAACACATTTACAAAACACTAAATAAGTAAAAATATTTAATCTAGTAAGGTTAAATAAAGGTATTTAAACAAATAAAATTGTTTAATTGAGCGCACTTTTTATGTATCAATGATATTACTAATTTAAAAAGTGAATAAATTAGTTTAAAACACTGCAAACAGTACTTGAAATATATTTGAAATAATTATTTAACGGATTTGTGAATAAATACTGAAATAAAACAACGGTTTAATTGATTATCACCTGAAAAGCCACAGTTATATCACTTGAATCAATGTGTTTAACATTGAAATGGCTGTTGTGTTGCGGGTGTTGTGGGGAAGAGGAGGACAGCGACAGCAAACAACCGGTGGCTAAGAAATACGCCGATAAGGACAGGGTTTGGGAAGAGATGCAGTCGAGTGCCGTCATGTCGATCAAAGTGGACGACACCGATTGGCCACAAGAGTACAAAGTGCCCGACAATAAGTATAAATACGTCGACGAAGTGATCGCTGAGCGCGGCTACGATCCCAAGACTGAGACCCCGATCGGAAGCGGAGCCCAGAGTAAGGTTTACACTATTGTGCGGACAGCGGACGGGGTGTCGGTGGCGCTCAAGAATGTCCTCTTCGCCGATAGAGACCATCAAAGAGATAAGAGGAAAATGAATTGGTTGAAGACAGAGATCGCCCTAATGTCACACTTGAAGCACAAGAATATTGTGCCCCTTTTGGACAAGTTTATCATAAACAACAGGTGCTATTTGGTCATGGATTGGGCCAATGGGGGCGACCTTCAGGAAGTGGTCAACTCCACGGCCAATGGTTTGTCTGAATTGCGGGCCAAAGAGTACTTCGTTCAGATCGCCCGAGCGGTCGCCCATTTGCACCATCAGAAGAGAGCCATCGCTCACCGCGACATCAAATTGCAAAACGTTTTGATATACAAACAAACGGATCAAATAGTGGCCAAATTGGGCGACTTTGGTCTGAGCCGAGTGTTGAGCGGCGCCGCCAACGCCGGAACAGATCGCGACCACAAAGCGCTCGGCACTCAGCCATACTTCTCGCCACAACTGTTGAAACTTGATATACTTAACCGCTGCGATAACAGGGATCTGATCCTTAGTTTGCCGGGCAAAGTGAAAACTGTGAACCCCGTGAAGGCCGACATGTGGGCGCTGGGTGTGTGTCTGTATTACATGTGCTCAAAACGGTTCCCCTATATTAGCGAACTCAACGACTGTGAAAAGATGGCAAAAGTCGTTAGAAAACAATTTGAGAAAAATTATAAGCCATTGAAAAAAGGCAGTCCTGAGCTCATGAGTATAGTCGATGATATGTTAAACCCTTCAACCAGACGCAGGCTTAAAATAGATGAAGTCCTCGGCCATCGATGGTTGAGTGGTGTCCCACCAGTTATGAAACCCGAAGATCAGTTGTAGTGATAATTGATTTATAATTGAAAATAGTATTACATTATATGATAATATGCTTAATAAATAGGTTTTGTTTGAATGCAAATATTTCTCTATATATTTTTAATTGTTTTTAATCATATTATACTAGTATTTCATTTTATAAATTTTTATATTGAATAAAATAGTAAAATAAGATAATAGAAATAAAAAACAAATTATAGGCCCGATCGCACGGTTTCGCCGCTTTTCTTATCGCCCTTCCCTTTAGCCCCGAGGGCTCGACCGTTGATTTCGGTCCACTCTTTTCGGACTTCTTGTCCGCCGATTTCGGGGGTGTTTTCGATTTAAAGCCTAAATAATGACAGATATTATACAAATATCTCATTGTTTTTCAATGTAAAACTTACAACAAAAGATGACACAAATGATGGCAACGATTACCACGATTACAATCACGACAATCAAAATGATCCAAAAAGTAGTATTACTGGACTTTTGTGTCGGTGAAGACGTTGTGCTACTACTCGTATTAGCGGATCCAACGGTTCCGGTGTCACCACTTGTACTTTGACCGCCAATAGTAACTGATGAGAGAGTGGTGTCATTAGCAGCCGATGCGGGCGTTTGTGTGCCACTACTGACGCTTGTATTTGTCGCTAAAGTAGTGGTCGTAATCGAGACGGAAGTCGTTGTTTCAAAAAGAGGCGATGTTTTCTGGCAATTGAGAAACTCTTTCCATTTGTACTAAAAAATATATGAATTGATTTTCATTAGAGATAAGCAGTTAAACGATAAACATATTAACTATATATTGATTACCATTTGACTTGAAACGACTGATCGGTTGTTTGGGTCACTGGTGTCGAGAAGATCCCATTCAACATCTCTTTTACCAAATAGTTTGCCGTTTAGGGAGACAATGGATTGATACGGCAAATTGACGGGTATTGACAATGAGTTGTAAGTGCCGGCCAACTGGCCGTCGACGTGTCGTACATACAGTTTATGAACATCTTTGGAACTAGATAATTAACAATTATATTAACTTTTTATCTTAATCTGAATGTGAATACCCGGATAAATCGGTTGCACTAATGTATAGCAGTTGTTTAATGGTATCGTAAGCTAAGCTATAATAGTTATTATTGAGATTTCGTGGCCAAAATTCATCATTCATTGTTCCTATTGGTGGCAAATCCCACGGCATCTCATTTTGATCGTTGACCGGGTTTAATGTCTGAAGACCGCCGGCACTGCTCTTGAGGACGAACGCCCGGTAACCAAACTGACCACTCGTTGTGCCAAACAGTAGCACTATGTCGGAGGCGTTGGACATAATCGCACAATTGGTCACTAATTTGTTACACTTTTGGGACGAACCGAAATACACGGCCCCTTCAATCGTATCCGCTTTGACTGTTTGTAACACATATTGTAATTCAAGATATATTCAATGAATGTGTGCTTACATTCGGGAAACAAGTATTGATAGTTTTGATGAACCGAATAGTGCCAGTCCTGTCCTGTCATTATAGCCGTGTATAGCGATTGATTGGTTCCGAAGTAGAAATAGTCGTCAATTATGAAAGCGACGGAAAAAGTGGAAAATGTCATCTCCGGTATGCGATTACATATATCGAAAGAAGGCCATGCGGTCACCGCTACCGTCGGACTGACACTTGACTGTCCCGTAGAACTCACTCCCGTTGGCTGGGATGTGGGACTGCCAGCCGATGCACCAGTGGTTGTGCTCACACTCGATGATTGAGAAGCGGCACCTGATTGACCACTAGTTGTACTGACCCCCGACGCGGTCACCGTATTATTAAAAGTCGATTGTCCCGCAGAGGCGCTGACACCCGATGGAGTGGTACTGACATCAGAAGGTGATGATGGAGAACCTGCAGCCGATTGTCCCGACGAAGTGGTGACACCAGACTGTGTTGTGACACTTATAGCCGACGGTGCAGATGGAGAAGGGCTCGACTGAAGAATCACACCATTGATGGCAACCAAACCAATCAATACAAGCGATGGATACAGAGATAACATCTTCTGGTTTTGCAAAATAATAACTGAATTTATTTAAGACTTTTGAATTTGAAATGATTTCCGTTTTAAAAATAAAGTATTTACTCTTTATATACCGAAAGAGTAAATAGTTTTCAATAATAATTTTTTGAATATTTATATTTCATGTGATATTAATTATTGTTTGACTTATTTATAATTTTGTGGTGTAATTCAAATCATAATTGTTTCATCTGTTTAACTGATAGAAAACTTTGGTTGTGATTAAAATTGTGATTAGTTGATTAGAAGTTAAAGTTGTGGTTAATGAATGTAGTATTTATTTAAAAAACAATAAAATGTTAACAAATTATAAGAATTTAAATGATTTTTACAATTATAAATGAATGAAACAGTGTTTGACATTTTCAATATGAGGTATAAAATCTATTTATTAATCTAACATTCAATAAAATATAATTATTTTTTATCAATTTAAAACATGTTTAAAATAATTATTACTATATAAATACACAACAAATTTGTTTTAAATGAGTAAATAAATAAGGAATAAATGATATAAATGTTGAATAAAATGATAAAATAATACAAAAATAAATGCACACAAATGCGAGTAAAATACTAATCCGATCGCACGGTTTCGTCGCTTTTCTTTTGGCCCTTTGCTTTCGGTCCACTCTTATCGGACTTCTTATCGGCCAATTTCGGGGGTATTTTCTTAGATTGAAGGCCTAATTAATTACATATTTTAGTTATTAATACCAAATGTAATAGTTTTTACTTTAATACTTACGGCAAAAAATAATACAAAAGATTGCAACGATTACTACGATTACAATCAAAATAATAAAAATGGTCAAAAACATGGCTTTATTGGACTTTTTGATTGGTAAAGACGTTGTGCTATTACTCGTGTCACCGCTGGTTGTGATTGTAATCGGGACTGAAAATGATGGATCAAAAAGAGGTGACTTATTGCCACAATTGACAAACTCTTTCCAATTCAACTAAAAACAAACAGTGAATTGATTTTCATTAGAGATAAACATTTAAATGGTTAACACATTTCACAATATATTAATTACGGGTTGACTTTCTCTCAATGTATTGAAGAGTAAGTTCTTAACGTCGAGGAGATGCCAATCAGACCACGATTTCTTCCCAAACAGATTATTGTTTGCATAAATGAGAGCCGAATAGTTGTCCGGAGTTTCAATAACGTAATAATTTGCGGCCAACTTGTCGTCGATTAGTCTGGCGTACAATTTATATTTGGTTTTACCTCTGGAAAGCAGGCATTGATTGAATTTTACCATATTTTAATTAAAATTTAAATTATACTCAAAGATTATATGGTTTAATACCCTTTTGGATTAAATGAATTGATAAATAGGACCCGCTCTATGGGATGATAGACTGCGCTGTTATGGGAATTGGTAGACACGGGCGGCCAGAATGTGCCATTTAGTAGCCCCTGAACCGGCAAACCCCACGGCATGTCCTTTGGATCACTAATTGGCACAATTATGATAGCGCCTCCCGGGGCGCCCACTGTTGTGTAGCCCTTGTATGCGAACTGCGAGCCTCCGGAGCCGATCAATGGGCCAAATAACAGCACTTTGTCAAAAGCGGTGGCAATTTTAGTGCAGTCAATGTGCGAGTGATTTGTCTTCAAGTTTTCGCACTCTTGTTGTGAACCGAAATATACGGCGCTTACGATACCATCGAAACCGTCGGCTATACAAAGGGTTAACCATTTATGGCAATTTTAGTGCAGTCAATGTGCGAGTGATTTGTCTTCAAGTTTTCGCACTCTTGTTGTGAACCGAAATATACGGCGCTTACGATACCATCGAAACCGTCGGCTATACAAAGGGTTAACCATTTTTTTGTTAAAATCAATTTCCCATTAATTATATTCAATGAATGAGTTCTCACATCCGGGGAACAGCTGTTTAGTCGATATTTGATTAAAGTATTGCCAGCCCTGAGCCGACATACGAGCGCTGTATAACATCCCTAATTCACCAAAATATATGGTATTCCCGATTGTGAACGCGTTCTTAAGATTCTGGAAAGTGGTTGCACTCGAAGCACAAAAATCAAAGGTATTGACTGAAATGCCGGAACCGATGGGCAATGCATTCGTGGTCACCACTGAGGCCGTAGTGACAGCCGGTTGTGCTGATGATGAACCCGTAGTATTACCTCCCGATGGCTGGGATGCGGGACTACCACCTGATTGACCAGTGGCTGCACTGCCAGCCGATGTCTGGGAAGAGTTTCCGCCAGCGCTTGTACTGACAGCCGACGCAACAGTGGTTGTGCTGACACCCAATTGGGC